TGTGTGTGTGTGTGTGTGTGTTCAGGAGCGATGGGCAATGCCCCTTGGGCCCCCCCAACCCCTATATATATAAAACAAAAATAAAAAAAAATAAAAAAATGTTCGAGCTCGGTCGATTTTGGGCCACATTCGGGCTCGGTACCGAGCGTTCGGGTTTGGTCACCAAGCCCGAACGCGATGCTACGCAGACGCTGACCACTGTCCGAGTCGAATGTTTGGCTTTCAAAAATTCGATGTCAGGACATGAAAATGATAAACGTTTGATGAACTTTGATCCCTTGGGTTTTTGAAGACTACGGAACACTTTCGTTTCCTTTTTGGTTTCTGTTTTCCCTGACTTGCTTGTCATTGTCGCAGTCGATGGAAATGGTTGCCTTCATTTTGCCCTGGGAAAAAAGTTAGAAAAAAGGGAAAAAAGAAAGAATGGCGCGTGTCTATATTATTATGTATTTATAGACCAGCCAGGATGTGGAAATGGTGCCAGCAATTATGGCAGAGCATTTTTTATGTTGTATGAGTTCGATCAACTTTGATGTAGCAGATGCCAGCCTCGTGGCGCAGAGTAGACGTAGACTTCGGTACAAGTTCATCAGCATTGCCTAACCATGTACGACTGCATTATAAGTACTGCAGACCGGTTTGCATCATGCTTAACCCTGCCTTGCATTATGAGCCCTATTTGCATCATGGTTAAAAAACAACTTAACACTGACTGCATCATGGTTGAGTAACTTGGGTGTAAACTTTAAACCCTGTCACCGTTAACCATGATGCAAATGCCAAATAGGGTTAAGTCCAGACGATTGGGCCAGGATCATGATGCAGACAGGTTCCACACTATTTGCGTTCATGTCTGCATTGTGAGTACTCCAGACTGGTTTAGACTTTAAACTGTAAAGATATGGTCAACGACCGTTCTGGGTCTTGGATTATGAGTTAACCCTATTTGCAGCATCATGGTTAAAAACAAGTTAACACTGACTGCATCATGGTTGAGTAACTTGGGTTGAACCCTGTCTGCATTACGAGTACTCCAGACTACCGTCTTCAGCCGAATAGAACGCCCGGTCATTATAGCCGTATCTGGGCCAGTTTTCTGTCTAGATGCAGCGATTATGACCGGTCGTTCTATTCGGGTGAAGACGGTAGTTAAAAGACATGGTCAATGACAGGATGTCTAGAGGCCAATCCAGACGAGGATCCAGGTGGGTAGGTGGGGCTAGTTATGACCTGAACAGAAGGAATCAATCTGTTGCTATGGGATGTAGCCGGGCACCGGGCATCCTGCGCGGGCAGGTCCCACACCCGGGGTACCCAGGCATGGGAAAAAGTGGGGTGATTTTATTTATTTATTTATTTTTGGGCAGTGTTTTTTTTTTTTTCCGTGCATGCCCAGAGGATCACAAATCCGGGCTCTTTTTGTTTTGTGGGTTTTGGCTGTCCAGAGTGGGGGGAAGGGAGGGGGGTATAGATTGGTTTGAAAGGGCCTAAAGGGGTTTAAAGTGGGGCGCCTTAGTCTGATTCTGTTATTTTCTTTTTTTTATCTTCGATTTGGTGAGGAACTCTGTCAGCCAAAAGTCGTTTGCATCGCAATTCCACACAAGATTATTATTTTTTTAAGAAACTCCAGATCGTAGTAGAGTCTGTATGCTAGGCCTCGGGAGGTCCCTGTCGTTGTACTTGACCAGTGGGGAGATCCGATGGCTTGTGACAACCTCAAGGACAGTCTCCTCCAGGGGGCATCATTCATGAACCTTTTTTTTAGTCCTAATCAGATCGCAAGTCAAGCCCTACAGCGGTGCGACCCAGACCTGTCTCTAGACCTAGACCTACACCAACCCACGCCTTCCGAGCGTCTCAGAGGAGTTCCCCTCGGCGCTACCATAGGGACACCCCGATTCTCGAGGACGACCTGGACACAGGAGGGGTCACAGATATGTGGTCATTCCCCACCTGTATCACACCTAGCAGACTCTATGGGTGTCTACCACCCTTCTGCTATCAATGTGACAACCCACCCTCCCCTGCCTAAGATGAGACCCCTAAAGGCTCTTCCCCAGATTCACGCCCCAATCGACCCCTTCAATGGGAACGCAGACAGGTACCAACCCGGATGAAGGTCATCGTAATATAGACATGAGGCCCGCCCTTGGGAATCGTGTATGCCTAACACCCAGCCCCTACCACTACTCAAGGGGGGTGTAGAGAGCGGAGCCGGACCAGGGCCCGAATTGTACGATGCATGGACTCTCGCCGGTGTACCATGAGGTCGGGAAACTACCATGGTACCCAGTCACACCCATGACACACCCCACAGAGCAGTGCATACGAACGAGACGGCGCACACAGTCAGGCCCACAATCTCTACACAGAGTCCTACCTAACCTGATCTAGATCTAAGACCTCTACCCAGCCTAACTCCTCTACCCCGCCCATGAGATCATTTGACCACACACAACCCACACACAACCCACACACAACCCACACAAACACCCACATGCACACTCGTCAGACCACCCCAAGGCCAACCACTCAAACAGCCCTCCCTCCAAGGCCTGCTACCAGCGTACTACAACCATGGACTAACCCCTTGGGTGGGGCGCAGGCAGTGTCTGTGAATATTACGATGTGTCAGCCCAAGGGGGGGGTGTGAATGGCAGTACGTCAGTCGGCGCCCGCTGGTGGCCTATGCACAAGAGTGCAGGCTCAAATATTTGAACCTGCGCCCGAATACCACAATGCTCATTTCCAACCAGTGCCATAACCACTGAGCCACTGGCCGTGCGGCCACACAAGATTTTCTCTTTCCGGATTTTATTTTATTTTTATTTTTTTGCGCTGGGGCAGCCCTGAACCCTGCCTGGAAGTCATCCCCGGCCGGACACGCGGGCGTGTATCCGGGCACAAGTTGGGTGCCTGGGCCCCCGGAAAAACTACCTACACGTTGGCTATCTTTTCGATTTTTTAACTCAGATGGGCAAGTAGCCCAGTTATGACCTGAACAGCATGAATCATCCTGTTCTGAGTCCTGTGAAACTTTTACATAAAAGGCCGGATATCGGCCAGCTTTGGGACTCTTAATGGGCTAGTTGTGACCTTCTCCTTGGGTAGATCGAGAGTACCAGCACGACCTTCTCACATTTACAATCATGGAGCATTAGCCCTATTGGCCCTACTATTGGCAGAGAACTACAGCTCCGGCAGGGAAAGGGCATACAGCTTACGTATTCTGCCTCTCAAATCTATAACTGGAGGGCATCATCATAGCATAAACCTAAGAGTTCTACTGTCCACATCTTGCTTTTTCTTGAAACCCTTTTCTCTGTGCGAGCCTTCTTTTTTCTTTCTCCTCAGATTTGTCTCTCCTAGAGGTCTCCTCTGTTTTTTCTTGCCCCCTTGCTCTGCTCCATTGTTTGCAACTGCGCGCGCGATTTGTCAACATTTTCTTTTCCATATGCACTCTTTTTGTGGATCGCACTTTCCCCTGCACATGTAGCACACATGGCACGCTCAGTAGAACTTTACAGAAATCCAAAACCAACCCGAAAAACAGAAGTTTTGATCAATCAAGCAAGTTGATAAAGCACGCAATGCGGCAATAGATTATTTTGTTATGCAATATTTTTTCCATGCAAAAAATCGATTGAAATTTGATCCAGCTTCAGCTTTAATAGGCTCTATGTATCTGGCAACAGTCACAAGAAGGCACTTGCTGTTTCTAACAACTTTATTCACGTTTATTGCCAGTCTGTAAGTTTATTATTTATGATGGTGATTAAAGTGTATTTGTGATGCCAAGAGGCAAAGATCCATGGGTCGCTGGAATGTTAAGGCGGTTATGTGCTTACCCCAATCCGCGTCTGGATGTCCGGTTTTCCGGTTTGATGTCCGGTTAACCAGACGTGCGGATTATAATCCAGACACAGGTCTGGGCCCGGTGTCCGGTGTCTGGATGTACAGGTCCGGGGCAACCATGCAAAGTTCTGAGAAGTTGAAAAGAAAAAGAAAAAAAAGGAGTTTGAAAACCAAAAAACAAATAGCGGTGCCCTGAGAGCGAAAAAAGGATAGCAGCGGTCTAAAAAATAAAACTTGAAAAAATAATAGCGGCGGTCTCATAGTGACCACCTGCTCTTCTCACGCAACAGTTTTGTAATGTAATTGAATTGGAGTTATTGAACAAGACAAAGCTTATTTGGGGAGGTGACGGAATGACGGCACTTTGTTGTGTAGCCATTTCCGGAAACGTGTGGTGTGTAGCTAAATAAGAATCTCATCTAGGATTTGGTTGGGTGATCCTATTCCACGTGTCAATGTTGGTGCATCTCTCTTCTCCACCAGATGCGCCAGGCAGGCTCAAACATTCTATATGCTATCATCACCGAAGTATCCGACAACATTCTCAAGGGTGCTGAAACTCATGGTTTGGAAGGAATGGTATGGTCTCTCTCTCTCTCTCTCTCTCTCTCTCTCTCTCTCTCTCTCTCTCTCTCTCTCTCTCTCTCTCTCTCTCTCTCTCTCTCTCTCTC